TCCTTCCTTCCTTCCTTCCCTCCTTCCTTCCTCTCTCTCTCTCCCTCCCTCCCTCCCTTCTTTCTTTCTTTCTTTCTTTCTTCCTTCCTTCCTTCCTTTTTTTTCTCTCTCCCTCCCTTCTTTCTCTCCCTCCCTCCCTTCTTTCTTTCTTTCTCTCTTTTTCTTCTTTCTTTCTTTCTTTCTCTTTCTCTTTCTCTTTCTCTCTTTCTTTTCTTTCTTTCCATAAAAACCTATTGAACACTTGCTGTGTTCCAGGTGCTATGTACTGAGAATACAAAGAGCAGAAAGACATGCCTTCCACCTTCCAGAAACCCACAGGCTAACAGGGGAGAAAGACAAGAGAACAGACAATGAGAATAGAGGGTAATACATGTGGTAAGGAGCAAACCGAGTCCCTGGGTGCTGAGGATGTCGCAGTGAGGAGTGCAGGGCCACCCTCATGGATGGCTTTCAATGCTCCCTTCTTGAACCTCCCACGGCCTCTTGAGAGGACCTTTAGGATAGCACCTGCTTCGTGGTACTCTATTTTCCGCATTTGTTCTCTCCACGTTTAAAGTGCATCTGCATTCTAGAAACAAAGCGTGGAAAGACCCGCCCCTTGAAGATGAGGAAAGGATGGTGTTCAGAGAAGATTGTACCGTCCAGCAGTGGGAGCTCAGGGAATGCCCTGGAGCGCCCTGAGCTGTGACTCCAAATGGGCAGAGAAGGAGGAGGTGCTGTTGGCAGGTGGAGGGCGCGGAGAGGAGACCCCACGGGTGCCTGCCGGGGGCGCCAGAGGCTCCCCCAGCCCAGCGGGTGCTCTGGTCAGTGCCCAGTGCTGACTGCTTGCTGTCTCCCATTAGGAAGCCTGGAGGAGAGAGGCCTCCTGGTGTGGAATCAAATCCAAGAGGAGTCTGAGGAGACTACGAAGGCATTGGAGGTGTACCGCCTCCCCTGCGGGATTGGCACCAAGTCCTGCACATCCCCCTGCACCCAGTACCTCCCGTTCTGGCCCAGGCTAGAAGCTGGGAAAGGTGAGCGGGGAATGAGCCTGTTCGCCTGCCTCTTCCAGGATCCCTCAGGAGAGCGCCCGAAGGGTGCCACGGAAACCAAGTTATGAGAAGAACTGTCCTCACGCCTGCCCCAAAGTGCTCTTCACCGCCCCCCCCGCCCACCCCATGAGCTCATCTCCCCGTGCGAGGATGGGTGGGCACCCTGCAGTGGTGGCAGCCAAATGAGTATTCGATTAAGACCATGACGAAGGTGCTTTGACACAGTGACTTAAACACCACAGCCTTCCACTGCGCTCCAGTGAAAACCAGTCTCCTATCTCCAGCATAAGCCAGTGTAACCCAGTGTCCGCACAGAGACTCTCTCAGTTCACATGTTCTCGGCCATAATTTGATGCGTTGGAAGAGGCCTGGGGTGCGGCCGGGGACGGAGACGGGGCTGTTTGCTGAAAGGCAAGCCCCTCTTGTCCTCCCCTCCGTGCACCTGCCCCTCAGGGCTGGCTCTTCGGGAGAGGTGAGGAGCACCCTCTGTTCCTCCAGCACCCGCCCTGAGCTCCTGGTGCTCCAGCCCGCGGCCGGCTCGGGCTGTTTGTGATGGATTGTTCTTTAATCGCACATTCTGGGAATCAAGTGCACGCACTCTGGCTTAGGCTTTGGCTTGCTCACATAGGCTGCCAAGGGATTGGAACCCACTCCACCTAACGGCCTCCTTGTTTCCTTATTTTAATAGGCCACAAGACCGCCGCACGAACTCCTGCCTGAGTTTCCAGCTGGCTGGTCTGCCCTGCAAATTTCAGATTTGCAGTCTCCACCATTAATACTTAAATCTACACCTACACCACTACCCATATGCACACCTATCCTCTTGGGTCTGTTTCTCTGACGGATACAGTCCTGGCTAATATGGGAAGATATCATCAGTTAAGACACAGGAAGATACCTGACCGATGTAGGAAGAGGCCTAGGTCGGGAGAACGGGAGGGCAAGCCCCGTCGGAGGGGATTTTAAAGCAACACATCCATCCTGGGCTGCACCATATCCAGTGAGCAGAGGGGAGCAGAGGGCCGTTGGGGCTGAGTGGGGGCGGGGAGGCTCCTAGCACGTGGCCGTGGGGAGAAAGAACAGCATTCCCCTGAGGTCCACGCTGACCAGGGCCCCACTGGCTCATAATGCTCCAGGAATGAGGACTGAATGGGAGTGCGTGGGGGCTGGCTAGAGCCGGCACTCGTTCCCTGAGGACCTGCTAGGTGCGGGCACCTCTGTAAGACTTTCTCCTGTCCCACATGCTGGCCTGTTCTTGACCGGGGGGACTGGCTGGGGGTGGTTGTGAGCACTGAGTGCCTGGGCGCTGGGGCCGTGCGCGCTCCCCTTTCCTTCCTTCCCCGCACACGTGTGGGCAACCCCGAGGATAAAGGCCCGGCCTGCCCCTCCTCTGGGTTGTTTATGGAAAGCTACAGTCCTTGCATATCCGCTGTGGGAGTCCCTGGGGGTGGGCTGGTGACAGGACGTGAGGCGAGGTGTGAGCCCTGGGGCTGAGAGCAGGCCGGACTGTGCTTGGGTCCTAACACCTAACCTGCACGGTTTCTTCCCGGGAGATGGAACAGCCGAAGGATTTGGGAGGCCTTCCGGGGAGGGGGGCCACTGTAATGATGATGGGAAACTGTAAAAAGCCAGGGAACCCGTTCTCTGCACACCCGGTGGGTTAGTCAGGGTTCTCCAGAGAAACAGAGTCACTAGGATGTAGGACGTGTGGGCACGCATGCACACACACACACACACACACACGCCCACACGCTATATCCGTGTGCGTACACACACATACGTAGGGAGAGAGAGATGTTACGGAATGGGCTTGCGTGGTTGTGGAAGCTGGAATGTCCGCAGTGGGCAGGGTGGGCTGACAGACTGGGGAGCGTTGCTGTTCGTGTCTGAAGGCACTTCCCTCCTCCTCATGGGAGGTCAGTCTTGGCGGGATGAGGCTTACCCATATTATGGAGGGTAATTACTCCATATTTACTCAAAGTCTGCTGGTTTAAATGTTTATCTCATCTCAAAATACCGTCATAGAAACATCGAGAAGAATGTGTGCCCAAATATCTGCGTACCGTGGCCTGGTCACGTTGGCACATAGAATCTGCTGTCACATCCAATGTGCACGCCCAGGAGCCTCACCAGAAAGCACTCAGAACACGGTGGAATCTGGCTTGATCTCCACTTAGGAGTCTCTATTGCCAGAAGAAGCAGATGAAGCTGGTTCTACCCTGATGTCCTATAGTTCCTATGCACAGGTGTGGTCCGCACCATTCTTGGGCTCCCAGAGCATGCAGGATGAGTGGCCTCCAGAACTCTCTAGAACCCACCAGAACTCTGCCCTGAACCCAAGGTGTGCTGAAAGTACCTAGTGTCATGGCGTCTCTGGGGACAGATCCTGCCCGTCCTTTCTCGAAAGGCCCGTGGCCTGGGCTTCGGGCAGGCTGCACCCAGGACCCCTGAATAGGAACACAGGAGGGGCAGGTGTGTACCTACAGCCAGCGACTTATACCAAACGACCCTGAAAGACTGACACAGGGCCACACTACTTGTCAAGACTTTATAATAATCAGAAACTCAAACCATCAAAATGCTCTGGGACAGCCACCCCGAACTGTCCTGGGAGGGGGAGGCAGGTACAGCCTTGGCTGCCGGCATTAGTGCTTGGAAACTGCCCACCTCATTCATCCCCTCCCGTCCCAGCCCTTCCGTATCACAGATCTTCATCATCGAAGGTCTCCATGCACCTCAGCATTATCATCTCATCGTCAATGGGGAGGTCTGGGTCCTGCAAAACACAGGGTGCAAGAGGATCATGTATTTAAGGAATCCAGGCCCCTCAGAGTCTACCCCATCTCTTGCTGCATCTTCTTCTCCAGCTTCCAGCCAGGAAGTAAGGGCTATGGGGCTGGGGGGGTGGTGGGCATTTCCATTTCATGCAACTCCACACTCTATGCTCTTCAGAAAGGGTTTTCCTGGACACAACAGAACTGGCTTCTTTTCCATCCTGGGCATTTGCAGGATCTCAGAAGACAGAGGGGAGACCTCTCAAAGCTTTATCCAAATGCCCATCCACGGAGGATGGTGAATCACACCACGGTGCGCCCACCAAGGGAATACCAGGAAGCTGTTTGAAATAACAGGAATGAGGTCGTTCTCTTTGCGATATACTATTTAAAAAGAAAAGAGGGCAAGTGGGTGGCTCAGTCGGTTGTGTCCGACTCGTGGTTTCGACTCAGGTCATGATCTCAGGGTTGTGGGATTGAGCCCCCACCTCCCTTCAGGCTCTGCGCTCAGCGGGGAATCTGCCTGAGATTCTCCCTCTCCCGCTGGTGCTAAGTAAAATCTTAAAAAAAAAAGAGCAAGTACAATATAATGTAGTGTAGGCTCTCATTTGTGTTGGAAAGAATATATAAATATCTGTAGATTATCTCTGGATGGCTGTTCAAGAAACCAGTAATGGTAATGGCCTTTGGGGAAGGGAATGGGGCATAAACGAGGGACACTGGTAGGAGAGAGACTAAGTTTTCTTTGTATATCTTTTGGTAACCTTCAAGTTTTAAACTATATACGTGGGTTAACTATTAGCTAATTGCTTAAGAAGCAGCACTAGGTTATTTTATTCCCTTTATAATGACCCCCCACTGACTTCTCTGACCCCCATTACCTCTTCCCCTAACAGTGTGTTCCTGGGTTTGGTTCTTCCTGTCTTTCCCCACCTTGGCAGAAAAATGGTAGTTTGTCATGGGCTGGTTCCCTTGGGCCCTGGGAAGCATCCCCAAAGCCAGTCAACCATCCCATGAATGTGAGACCCGGTCCCCAGGGTGACAGCCAGGTTGGGAGCTGACTCTGCAGACAAAGCCTCTCCAGCTCTGGACAACGTCCTCACTGTGCTCTACTGATGGAGGCGGGGGGTGTGTGGGGGGCCGGCGTATCTGAGAGAGGACCAGGTGGTCTCTGGGAAAATCACACGGGCCCCTTCTTCAGGGTGAAGACCAGAGCAAAGCTTGAGAAAAGGTGGAGTGGAGCGCAGGGGGCACCAGGAGGCCAAGGGTCCCGGGAGGGACCACACACGAGTCTCGGTCGCACCAAGTGCTTGAATGTTGTTCACAATGGTCCAGTTCCCTAAGCCCCTGAAAATGGTGTCTGAGACCTTTTTAGGCTGCAGATTTGGGAAAGCAACAGGCTGTGAGAGGTACCTGCTGGTATTGGGTGCTGAGGTATGTTGAATAGTATCCTTCCTACCCCACTTCATGACCACCTGGAACCTTCTTTGGAAATAGGGTCTTTGCAGGTGTAATTAGCTAAGGACTACAAGATGAGCTCCACCTGGATTTAGGGTGGGCCCTTCATCCAAATGACCAGTGTCTTTATAAGAAGATGAGAGGGCTAGAGAGACACACAGAAGGCCTTGTGAAGACAGGGGGCCTTGGTTGGAGGGATTCAGCAGTGAGCCAAGGCATACGGACAACTGCCAGGAGCCACCTGGAGCTAGGAAGAGGGAAGGAAAGACCTTCCCTCGAGCCTTCAGAGGCAACATTTGGCCTTTAGCCTCCAGAACTGTGAGGGAAGCAATTTTTGTTGTTTTAAGCCACCAGGTTTGCGGTAATTTGTTACAGGTGCTAATTAAAGTTTCATCCAACGACCTCGTGAAGTTCACGGGAAGGGGAGGGGGGAAGAGAACGGTATTTTCCTCTTTAGAGCAGCGTAGGCTGGAGGCCTTGTGCACCGGAGCCAACCTGGACAGCCAACTGGACAGCTCATTCAAAATACAGATTCTTGGGGTCCCACCTCGAAACACTGAATGAGAATCTTGGGTGCTGGGGCATCAAGAATCTGCATTTCCAGTTAGTTTCCAAGACGATTCAAGTTTGAGCATCTCTGCTTTGTACGGATACTCCAATCCTGCCTGAGCTTTCTTTTCTACCATATGCGGGGAAAGGAAGCAGGGAAAGCAAAGACCATCCTGTTAATCTGTTCCCCAGGCCTCAAGGAAGTGGACTGACTTCCCTGTGTCTGAGAGAAAGAGGGACACAGTGGTAAGGACCAGACAGCCAAGGGTTGATGGGAGGCGGAGAGCAGCCAGAGAGGGGGCCCTGGGCTCCAAGTGGAGATTCAAAGTGGTCCTGGCAGAGGGAAATGAAGGATTCGTGGGGAGAGGGCCAAATTATACCTTGGCCTGTTGGAAAGCTGCCCCAATTATTTTTAGACAAACGTTGTCATTATTATTGCTTACCTTTTTAAAGAAACAGTTGTATCTTTGCTGAATTAGTAGAGAAAATCCTTGGCTATGAATCTGAAAGGGCCTGTCCCCTTGGTGGCTCAGGCATAACTCCCCTTTCCTCATGGAAGTTTCTGGAATGTCCCTTCTAATCAAGACACAGCCAGCTTTTGGGAAGTAGAAATTACAAACGCTGATGGCAAATATTAGCCCAGGGTCTCAGAAGACGGCAGAACAGCTCAGTCTCTTGGAAAGGAGTCACACAACATTTACAAATGCCTGCAAAGAGTCAAGCCCCCGGGATCTGGTCGCCACTTCAAGGGGCTCCCCGTCTCAGGCCTGCCCTGGAGACCATCTGTGTGTCTCTTCCCTCCGTTTCCCTGGACGTCTTCCATCCCCCAGGATGTATCAGGCTGATGCCCACCATCAATGGAACAGGCCGAGGGAATGAAGGGACATCCGCCTTCACTGGCCCCCTGTGGTGTGATGTGAGTGAGGTCCAGCTGGGGGTGGGGGCGGGGCTCAAGAGTCCTTCCCACCATCCTAAGGGAGGTGAGCAGGGGTCTCTTTGCACTCCGCTCCGTCCTACCTGTTTTAACTGAGGGTTAACACAGCAAAGGCCTTTAAAAAAATCGATGATCTGCATATAGAGCTGAAACTTCTCCTCTGGATATTCTGGGTTGCCGCCGGTGAACACCGAACTGACAACAGAAAGGGGAAGACACAGCAACTAGTTAGAACCCTCCTCTTTGGCCTCTGCTTGCACCCCCTAAAATACCTGGGTTACAGGGCGAACCAGGCACTTGT